AGTCAAGAAATCAAACAGCATATTGCATTAGGTAAATCTGCTGCTCAAGACCTTTTTAAAGTGTTGAAGGGCAAAGATGTCAGCTTGAGGACTAAGGTGCGCCAGACCCAAGCCATGGTACTTTCAATAACCTCATATGCATGTGAAAGCTGGACAGTAAATAAGAAAGACCGCAGAAGAATTGATGCTTTTGAGTTATGATGTTGGAGGAGAATATTGAAAGTGCCATGGGCTGCCAAAAGAACCAATAGATCTGTTTTGGTAGAAGTACAGCCAGAGTGCTCCTTGGAAGCCAAGATGGCCAAACTTTGTCTCTCATACTTTGGATATATTGTCAGGAGGGACCAGTTGCTGGAGAAGGATATCATGTTTGGTAAGGTGGAGGTCAGCGAAAAAGAGGAAGACCCCTAACGAAATGGATTGGCCAAGAGCAGCATCGATGGACTCAAGTGTGGCAACAGCAGTGAGGTTGGCCCAGGATTGGGCAGTGTTTTGTTCTGCTGTGCGTAAGGTCACCATGGCACCTAACAACAACAAATGAAAAGAAGAATGTAAGAACTATAGAGAAAGAAGGTAAGAACGTAAGAATGAAGGTGGGAATAAGAGCAGAGAAAGGGATTGGAAAAAGGGGTCCAGGAGGAGGAGAAGGAATGGGAAGGATAAGGAACAGGTAAGTGTCCTGTATCCCATAAAGCACAGCATGAAGTTGAGGGGACAGGAGTAGGAGAGGGTAGGGAGACAGGTGAAGTGGCCTAAGGAGACACTGAGCACACTCAGGATGGGGTGTGGCTCCACATATGGAACCTGGAGTAGGTCACTCTCTAACACATGCTTGGAGCTGGACAGAGACTGAGGAGATCAGGGGAACAATGGGCTGGGAGTTAGCAGCACAACAGCTTGTTTTTGTTTTAAAGAATTATTTCTCCTTATGAAGCGAGATAATTCTTTTAAAAAAGACTACGACAGCTGTTACAGGGAGCAGCATAGAAGTCTAAAAGTCTTTTCTTTTAGGCATCTGAGAGAACATGAATAAAACATTAGGAGCCTTAGCGGGAAATGGCAAATTCAGTTAAGACAATTAAGCTCTGTCCTCAGGAAGGCTGGGTAAGCCCATTTCAGATCTTTGTGAACCAAAGAATATACAAGTTGATAATTGTGCTTGGCTGGCTGTCCAAGCTTCATGCCACAAGGTTAGAGAAAGAAAGGCAAACCGGATCTAGACTATTTCCGGTATGCCTTGCTCTTCCTTGAAGATGCAGATACAATCTGAAGCAAATACATGACTTCCTAACCCTTTAATACCAGCATTCATCTTAATAAACTTCCGAAGGCATATGCTTTAATTTGCAATTCATTAAAAACAGAACAGAACAAAACAACTTTAAATCCTTCTCACCTGAATTTGTTTCTTTCTTCCCTTTCTATTCTCTGTAGCCTTTCTTCTCTCTCCTGCCGCCGCTTCTCCCTCTCTGCTGCCAAGGACTCTTGGTGCTGCCTAAAGGACGAGGTGAGAAGTCCACTCACTGATGACCTACAGACATAAAGCATCCATGTTTAGCAACTTGATTGGTAACTGGTCTGTGAAGTAGGAATCAATCAGACCTTGGTTGAATTGAGGGCCTGGTGTGGCACTGTGGGTTAATGCGCTGGGCTACAAAGTCGATTTGAACCACAAGGTTGGCGGTTCGAGCTCACCAGCCACTCCTTGGAAACCCTATACAGGGTCCATATGTATTGGAGCCAACTTTATGGCACTTAACAACAACAGCAACAAGTTGCCAGATAGTGTTCATGGGCTTCAGGCCTTCTGCTTTAGGATCTTCATCTGAAATGGAGGTAAGTAACCTGCTTCATGTTTTGGAAGGACAAAACGTGGTAATACATATAAAATGCTTAGCAACATGGTGGGCCTACATATAGTCATCAATCATAGGTGAGATTACTATCTGAAAAGCTCAAAATATGTATAAAATATACATATATGCTCTGTAAGTATTAAAGTTAATTTAAGGTCAGACTTTAATGAATTGGAATGAACTTTCAACCTAAAATTGGTCCTATTATACACATAGCAAAGATTTTTACCGTACACCAATTTCTTGTTGTTTGTTGTTATTGAATGTTGTTGAGCCGGTTCTGATTCAGAGCAACCCTGTATCTGAGGAACTGGTGGCTTTGAACTGCCAACCCTGGGGCGAGCAGTCCAGTTTTATTCTATAGCACCACACGAGGAATCTAATTTCTTATTGTTGTTGCTATATTTATTCAACCTGTATAATCCGAGAAGCTGGGTTATAAAGAAAAATGTGGCATTAGGATTGGAGGAAGACTCATTAACAACCTGCGATATGCAGCTGATACAACTTTGCTTGCTGAAAGTGAAAAAGACTTAAAATAGTTACCGAAGAAGATCAAAGAGCACAGCCTTAGGTATGGATTGCATCTCAATGTAAGAAAACAAAAATCCTCACCACTGGACCAATAAACAACATTCTTATCAGTGGAGAAAAGATTGAAGTTGTCAAGGACTTCATTCTTCTTAGATCAACTATCAACACTCATAGAAGCAGCAGTCAAGAAATCAAATGACATATTGCATTAGGCAAATCTGCTGCACAAGACCTTTTTATAAAATAATGAAGAGCAAAGATGTCAGCGTGAAGACTAAGGGTGTGCCTGACCCAAGCCATGGTATTTTCAATAACCTCATATGCATGTGAAAGCTGGAGAGTGAATAAGGAAAACCGCAGAAGAATTGATGCTTTTGAGTTATGGTGTTGGAGGAGAATATTGAAAGTGCCATGGACTGCCAAAAGAACCAGCAGATCTGTATTGGAAGAAGTACAGCCAGAGTGCTCCTTGGAGGCCAGGATGGCCAAACTTTGTCTTTCATACTTCGGACATATTGTCAGGAGCGACCAGTCACTGGAGAAGGATGGAGGTTGGAGGGTCAGAGAAAAAGATGAAGACCCCCAGCAAGATGGATTGGCAAAGTGGCAACATCAATGGGCTCAACCATGGCAACGATAGTGAGGTTG